CTCTCCAGGAACTCCAGAAACCTCCCAGCCAGCTTTGGCAAGAAACTCACTGGATGGGATTCATCGGTCAGTTCATTAATCCAAATGGTTGAATCAAGAGTCTCAAACTGATATAGTCTTAAGTATGTTCAAAACCCTTCTTATCCTTTTTGCTACTTCAGAGAAGGTGCCTGAGGTTGTTGTTTCAAGAGAATCTTTTTCAAGATGCCAACATATCAGACTCAGAGACTGAAAATCCTAGTTGAGTCCAACTTCTACCTCTAAGTTACTAAATAAACTCAACTAAATTACTTCACCTTTCTGAAATTCAGTTTCTTCAATTGTGAACTGGAAATAAAATACACATATCACAGGATTTTCTAAGGACTAATTGAAGGTTACAGTATTTGAGGATACTTTGCAGGCTATAAAGTACTTTATATGGCTATAAAGTAGGAGATAATTATAACACAAATGCAAGAACTCAGGATGTTTTTCTTCTGTATAACCCTGTAAGCTTTCAAAACTGCCACAGCATGATAAATTATAGGAAAACATACTCTTAATCATAACATTTGCAAAGTCTCTTTTTTATTTTACATAAATATAGTAGGTACTCAATGCTTGGGTGGAAGTATTGTTGGTTGGATGAATGGGAGAGACGAAGGGAGACAGCATATTAAAGTAAATAAGAGAGCTGTTCATGAAGTTTTAAATGTTCCTTTTTTAACATTCTTTTTAAACATTGCTTGATATGAACTATGTGTGTTACACTGAGGGGTGGGAGGCATTTAGTTCATTGAGTTAGTAAGCCTGTTTTTCTGCTATTTGTTTTTTAATTCAACAAACATTTATTGAGCAACTGCCATCAGTTGGGCATTGTGCAAGTTTCAGGGAAAACACAATTGATGATGTCACCATTTTTTTATGCCTGTTTTCTTCAGCTGCTACTTTTGCTCCTTAAACATTTTGAGGATTGCAGAATAAACTGACACTGGTATGGTCATATGAAGGGCCCCAGCAGTATTGAGGGCTGCACTTGTGTCAAAAATCACATCTTGTGAATTGTTTCCTGATGTACATGTGCAGCCTGTGATTCCTTTATGGATGGCAAAATATGTTTCTCCAGAAAGAAGAAAGCTCCTCCCACCTTTTCTTGCTTTTCCCTGCTTGTCTCTGAACCTCTTTTCTCGGGGACAGCCCACCAAAACACCGTGTGGCCAAAGGAAAAATAAGATATGTCAACTCTCTGACTCATGTGGTCTTGCAGTGAACATCAGCTATGCATGGCTGCTGAATGGGGGTGGACATTAGGCAGATCATAGAGAACCTCTCTTGAGGGGAAATCAGGCTAGTCCCGCCCAACATATATAATTTTAGGTAAGGAGACACCTCAGCTCGTGTTTTAGGATAAGCTCTGTGTATATACTGAGAATGGCTGAGGAAGGACCTCCATTTGTAATTCATTTCTCTCATTGTGGAGGTGAGAGAACCAGTTCAAACTTTTAGGCTATTTGTGGCAGAATTGGGGCTGAAACTCTTAGCCCATGGCTGTCACTGTGTTTCATGGTGAACTAGCACTTCCAAGTATGTTTTCATTATATAAGACAATTATAACATCATAAAGTGAGGAGTATAGAAAGAACATAAGCTTTGGAGTCAGACAGAACATGGTCAAATCCTGGCAGTGCTTCTTAAATCCGTGTGGCCTTGGGCAAGTTACCTGAACACTCTGTTCTTCTGCTTCTGCATCTATTAAGAGGAAGAAAGAATGTTTACCTTTTATGGATGTTGCAAAGATTAAATGAGAGAACATTCAAAGAGCTCAGCACAGTACCCAGCCTATCTTTGATGTTGATATGTTTACTAGAAAGGAAGAAAGAATCTAATTGTCTCTTGAGAGGGGGTTCAGATGAGGATGATAATGATGGTGATGCTGGTGGTGGTGGAGAGAGTGATGGCGGTAGTGATGATGGTGACAGAGCTACCATTAAACATCTCTTTTTAAGTATTTCTGCAATATCACAATAGCCATTTGATGTTGTTATTTTCCTCATTTTATAGCAGATCCTTCTGTCTCCAAATTCCACCCTTTTCTCATAATAGCACACTAGTTCTCAGGTTCTAAGTCTAGATATAGCAACAATGAATCTGCCAACCCAAGAAGAAACAAATGAATATTCCCTACAAATTTCTGGTTCCTTCATTTTAATTCTCTTTTAGTATTGAATGACCCTGTAACATTAACTTTGCCTGTACTTTGTATGTGTGCAACCGGTAAATGTGGGTGATTCTCAGGAATTCCTTGAACCTATTTATGATACTGTGGACCAGCTGTGGCCAACTCCTTTTTTGTCAAGGATCTCAGAATCAATGTATTTAAGATGCCAATATTTTGAGTTGTACAGATAAGTAAACATTGACTGCCCAGTTGTTGGATTTTTATCTTAGAGAAAAACCTGTGAGTCTTGGGGGCGAAGAACCAGCACTTTGGAATCAGATTACCTGAATGTGAATCACAGCCCTATTCCTTGTGAGCTGCATGACCCTGATGAAGTTACTACTCATTTCTAAGCTTCGGTTTTCTTACCCATAAAATGAGGATCATACTAATACCAGTCACATTAGGTTGTTGTAAGAATAAAATAAGACATGTATATAAAGAGCATGTAAAAATAACTCACTTAAAATGAGTTCATATCTTGGGTCATTCCAGTACAAAAGCCTTTGTGCCCTGAATGGAGAATCGTATCACTCAGGATCCATCCAGCAAAACATAAACCACTCTAAGTGTTTAAAAAACAGGCAATTTAATACCCAAAAATGGTGATCCTGATGATGGAGGAACTGAGAAGAGCTACATTCCCTATGAAGCAATTCAGAGATCAGTGAAATGGAAACGGCTACCATCCCCAGGCTGGAGGGACTAAGGAGGGAGGTGGTGTTCCCATAGTCTAAAGGCAGGGGACACCAGCAGATGCTGGAGCCATAGCGACCCTGTCAGCACAGCCCGAGTGGTGGAGGGGAAACAGCTGCTGCCTGGCACAGAAGAGAAGTAAATAGGCTCTTGCTTCCCCTTCCCTCCAGGCCCAGATCTCCCAGCAGGGCCAACCTTGGCTGACTTGAGTCTGGGAACTGCTGCCTGCAGGGGCAGCCCCACAGTACTGAGCAGAGCAGGGGACTTGATCTGAAAACACATAGGCCAAGGATTCTTGCAGGCAAAAGTCTCAGACCTGTATTGCCTGATTGTGGATATCTAACTACCGGGTGATAACTAACACAGAAAGTTTGGAAGAGTCTTACTTCCCCCTGCTGCTAGACCTCTGAACAATAGCAGAGGTTCACAGGTTGCTGTGCCCCAGAAGGTAGAGTTTGGAAAAAGCAGTGGAAAACCCTCGAAAGCTGTAAGAGCCCTGTCTCTGGCCTTTTTCTCACATTACTTTCTAGCAAGGGCTGCTGCTGAGCAGCCAGTGCCTTCAGTATCTGGGGATTTGTGGCCTGATGAGACATTCTTACCCTGCCATTTACCTGGCTAACTTCTGCAGAATTGAGTATAGACTGAACTTCCTTGGGCCCCTATAGGTGGGTTAGCTGCCCTTGTGGCCCCTCCTGTGATATACTGATTTCCCTGCACTGAAATGCTCCATTTAGGCTTCCCTCTCCTTCCCACCGGACTGTGAACAGGGACTTGTCTTCTTCATCCTTGCATTCCCAAGCATTGGTACTCCTGCTTCCTGCACTGAGCTAGCTACTGTGATAGGTCCTGGGCTAAGCATTTGAGTAAGAGTACCAGCCCCTAGCAACTTTTATTATAGAAGGAAGGCAGATGGGATATATGATGTTTCAAAATTACCAGTGTATTTTGTGCTAGGGAAGTCCAGTGCATGACACTATTTAACAGGGGGAATCATCTGTCCTAGAGGATCAGGGAAGCCCTGTCAATAAGAACTGGCCTGACAGAGAGGTTGGGGGAATGGCATTCCAGGCAGCGGGAAGAGCAAATGTGAAGGTCTTGAGGTGGGAAAGAGCATCGAGGATTAGAGATTGAGAACAAACATGGCATTGCGTGGGAGCTGATGAGGTCAGCAGGAGCTGTTCTCTCCTGTGTCCCAGTCTCTGCGTCCTGCCTGAGCACTTTCTACCCCCAGCTTTGTGTTGTAGTTCTGCGTGTCTGCATGTTTGTGGCTTCCACATCACTCTTAGTATATATCGTTTTGTGTATAGAAGGGACTTGGATATTTGAGCAAGTGAATACAATTCCAGGCCCTAAACAGTCTTCCTAGCTTTTTTGTCACATTTGTAACATCAGTTGCCCTGCAAGTATCAAGGAATATGAGCCCTATGGGGAAGAAGCCTAAATTTCTACCATTTATGGGAAACCCTCTGCTATTTGGCATTCTGTTACTAGGAACTGGCTCTCAGTCATCTCCTTCACACTTGGAGTTCTACGATAAGTAGTTATAAGAATGGTGACCTAGGGATGCCAAAAAGATTCAGTCATCAGACAGTTAGTTCCTTTGCTTTGACTTCTTTGGGATTGAGATGTGATGTGTTAAACCAGATTCCATTTGGCTGTGCTCCTTCCTAGCAGTGTGGCCTTGGGCAAGTCAGTTAACCTCTGCAGACTTTAGTTTCTCCTCTGATGTTTAGCATTATTAATATCTATGATGGGGTTAAAATGAGACCATGTATGCAAATATGTAGCATAGTGCCTGGTATTTAGTGAGCACAAAGTAACTGATAGCTGCTGCTTTTGCTATGACAATTACAATTACTGCCATTATGATAATGTTGGGTGCCATACATTGACCAGAACAAAGCGAAATCCGAGCAGGCCTCTGAGTTTTCCCATGCAGGCAAGTATGCCCTTCGGGTTTCTGCTTGAGACTGCCCTACACACAGGACTCTTCCTCCATGTTGTTTGACTATGAAAAAGAAGATCTGTTAATGCTTGTTTTTAGCTTTCTCTCCCTCTTTTTTATGTGTTAAAGAGGATTTGTTTTTGTTTTCCTTTCTCACAGGAGTGATTGGGGCAGATGTGAAAGGGCACGGCCTTGTCTGTGAGGGGCAGCCAGTGACGTCACGGCTGGCTGTCATCTGTGGAACGTCTTCTTGTCACATGGGGGTGAGTCCACTAAGCACAAAGGCAAAGCCACCACACAGCAGGCGGCAGCGTGGAAGAAGACCCTGAGTGCTGGCTCCTTCACCCCTTCACTTCTTTCCTCTCTTCCCTTCCTGCCCCCTGTGCTTTGTCTAGCCAGAAGCTTAGCTCCCCACTCCACCTCCCTTGCTTACATTTGCTGGATCTTTTTCCAGGGGCCAAATTCTTAGTAAGCATGAAAAGGATTGAGTGCTCCGTTTGACGTCACCCTGGCCAGAGAGCCCAGGCATGAATGGTGACATCTGATCCTAAGGTGACAAAGTCTAACTCCCCCAGACTGATCTGTCTCTAATGGGTAGGGGGGTCTTCTCTGCAAAGAGTGTCTGTTTTCCTTGGCCAGGGAACTCTCTCTCAATCAATATAAATCCATCTCCCTGGGAGCGTCCTGATGATCTATAGAATTAGACTGCATATCATGACTTCAAAAGAACACTGATAAGCAATTTTCACTTTGTTAATTTTTCTCCATGAATTAGTGGAAAGGCTTTCTCCAAGATTGCAGTTAAAATTTAGTGCCTGCCCTAAAATTTATATCTTCTTTAAATGCATGAGTCTGAAAGCATTCCATTCCGATAAGTACCCATTTCTACCATATTTTTATTTAAAAGTCATTACTCTGTTAAACTTAAATCGACGACTCTTTGGAATTTTCCCAGATAAGTGAAATAGAGGGAAGAATGGGGGAGGAGCAGGGAGATGAGCAGAGATTAGAGCGGGACACAGCCCAGGGCAGAATCAAAGCAGCTATGGAGGAAATTATGTGGGATGTGAAACTGTTTTGCAACTGTAGGGACCCCTGAGCCTCTCTACCATTGGATATTCTGGTTCAGTGAATATAAATATATGTACTTATTTGTCAATCCCTGCTCTTGTGCTAAACTGTGGATATAAGAATGACATTGGCTGTCCCATTGATGAGATGAAGTTATAACAGGTATTAGAATATAATGCGAGGCCCCCCAATGTAGATACAAATCGATCTCATGATACTAAGCATCTGTCACGTGCCAAGCAATGTGCGAGGTATTCTTGCACATGGCATCCCATTTTGTATGGCTGAGGGAGTCAGCCCGAGTGGTTTCCAGTCCCACTTCCTCAGTTTACTAAGTGTGGGCCTTTGGGCAAGGTACTTAAACTCTCTGGGCCCCAGATTCCTCATCTGCAATATGTGGAGAGCGACAGCACCTGTCAGAGTGCTGCAAGAATTAAATGAGGTAATACTAAGTGTTCCACGTGCAGTAAGCACATCCCAAGAGCTCACTCTTAATCACTAGGACTGTTGTTGTTACTGAGCAGAAAGCAAGCAGTGACTGACTCGCCTGGGAGGGTGCAGGGTGATAGAATCTTCTTGAGATGACATTCCTGCTGGACTTTAAGGATATAGATTTCCTTCTGTTTGTCAGGGCTCTGGGCAGTCTTGAATGGAATTTGTCTAAGTTTTAAAATTGCATCATATTTGCCTGGGCACAGTGGCTCACGCCCGTAATCCCAACACTTTCGGAGGCCAAGGTGGGTGGATCACCTGAGACCAAGAGTTCAAGACCAACCTGGCCAACATGGTGAAATCCCGTCTCTACTAAAAATACAAAAAATTAGCCGGGCATGGTGGCGAGTTCAAGACCAACCTGGCCAACATGGTGAAATCCCGTCTCTACTAAAAATACAAAAAATTAGCCGGGCATGGTGGCAGGCACCTGTAATCCCAGCTACTTGGGAGACTGAGGCAGGAGAATTGCTTGAACCCGGAAGGCAGAGGTTGCAGTGAGCCAAGATTGCGCCATTGCACTCCAACCTGGGCAACAAGAGCAAAACTCCATCTCAAAAATAATAATAATAATTGCAGCATATTTCTTCTGCTCAGCAGCCCTTTTGTAAGGCTCAGCTGTCCCTGAAGGGAGAGATCTGCAGAGGCCTGAGGCCTCTTTAAGCCAGAAGGCACCAGCCCAGGAGCCAGCCCTTCTTTCCCTTGATATGAGTCTACACTTGTTAGATTGTCTTCACTGAATACTGATTTAATCCTGTTTAAATTATCTCTTATTTTCACAGGGATGCATCTAATCAGCTTCTCCTGGGAGATCTGAATTTCAGGCATTTTTATCCCACTCAATTCAGATTTCCGAACAGAAGCAAATCTAAGTGGATGCAAGTGTCTCTGTGATGGCCTGCTTCTCAGTCTTACTGTCTCTTAATGGAGATGAGATTGGCTTTCCCTACCCATTTATTTTACACATTTGGGACCTAAAGCATGGAAAAGTCCGGTAATTTTCCCAAAGTCACAACAAGCTTTGAAGTTCTGGAGCTAAGAACTCAAATCTAACTCTGATTCCAAAGCTCCTACTCCTCCTTTCATCCCTGAATTGTGCATGAGTATGATGTACCCATAGAGGAATGGTGAGAGCATGGGCTTTTACATTGTCCAGAGGCAAGCTTGAACATCTACTCATGCACATTTTGGCCCTCTGACCTGAGTAAGCTACTTAACTTCTCTGAGCCTCAGATTCTTCATCCATCAAATTGGGGATAATGATGCCAGTCTCACAGGGTTGTTGAGTAACATGCACTATGTAGATTTGTACCTAGCACACAGCAGACACTCAAAAATGGTGGAGATTGTTATTAAACTTTCCTAGTGATGTCAACGGCTCACATGAAGCAACTGTTTGGGCTTTAACGAGTTTGATGGGCAGCTGCAGTTGGTTGCCATGAATGAGGGCCGTAAAATGCCAGTTTATGATGACCGTGTTGGGCTTGAAATACAGTCCCCACCCCCAGCCTGCTTTGTACTTGGGGGTGGGAAGGGACCCTCTGGGCCAAGGGGATTAATCATCAGCTTTAATGTTGTGTCATGAGGGCGAGACTGTGGTCATGCTGGCATGGGAAAGTGTCTTTGATCTCCTCAGGTGCTGGGAGCCCAGCAACAATAACACCTTTGTTAGGTCTAGGAGAGGTGCAGGTCTGAGGAAACACTCCCAGGGAGACTCAAGGACCCCCTTTGTTGTGGTTCTGGCAAATAAAACCGCCAGTGTGAGGAAAAATTTACCAAACAGAACACAGGGACCAAAGGGGGCTGTGGGTTCTTCAAAAAGTGGTTTTCAGCATGATCTGAAGGATCCTCTTTCTTCCTGTCTGCTCACTTCTGATGTTTCCAATTTAGTAGATTGAGAGAAAATTCCCAGGAACATTTTGTACTCGATCCAGGTTACCTCTTTCTAGATCACCCAAAAAGAATAAATGAATGAACGAATGACCACGTAAGTGAGTACTGGTAAATACTTAGAAGCTTCCTACCTCCAGGTTCCTGTTGCTTCCAGGAATCTGGAGAAAAAGCCTGAGGTTGAACATAAGACATATTAATAAGGCCTTTGATATTGTAGAAGATACAAGCATGGCTGCACATTTATCTTCCTTGTGGATGATTTAATTAACAGGGGGGAAACTGCCGTTCTTTTTTTAACTCCATGAAAGCAGAGCTGCTTGTTCAGAGGTAATTACTACCAAGTCACCAAAACCCCAGATAATACACAGCAGGGGTTAGCCAGAGGTTGAAAAGTCATGGGGTAAGATAGAACTGATCCTTACCATTGCACCAGCACCCTTTTCTTGAGCCATCAAGTTGGGTTGTAACTTGGCAACTTGTCTTCCAGTTAGCATGTCAGATGGGGAGAGGACCCTGGGGGGTCGGGGTAGGGAGAAACACTGAGGAGGTAAGATTTGAGCAGAGCAATACTTGAAGAGAGCTGGGAACTACATATGCATCTTAAATCGCTCAGAACTGAAGTTTTTTCAGTCTTAATGTAGAGATGGTGATTCTCTATCATTGAATGGATGTGGAGACTCAAAAGACATAGGCTTATACGCTGCCCCCACTACTTACTGTGTGAATTTAGGCAGGATGCTTCATCTTTCACTGCCTCAGTTTCTGCATCTGTTAAATGTGAGTGATAGTATTTACCCATAAAGTTTTGTTCAGGTTCAAATTAGACCATCTTTGTAAATGACTTGGCACTGTACCTGGCACAAAATACCAAATATGATATTGTTATTAAAAATGAGTCGTTAATCATGCATGAACAATCCATGTGATTGTGGATTAGAATTAAGGACATCAGTATGAACTCATATTTAGTTTAACATAGATGCAGATGGATGCATATAGACATAGTTATGGATATATATACATATACAGGTTAGTAAATACATATTTATTTCCTGGCTCTGTTAGCTGGGATGGCCTAGAAATAAGGACACCCCAAGAGCTAGTTTTTACAAGCACGTAGCGTCCAGATCATAGTGTCTAATACCATTATCCAATACAAAGAACCAGGACTCCTTGGAGAAATGGTTGATTTTAGGATTGGGATAGGAAATATACAAGATGAGCTTGGCGCATTTGCAGTGCCAGAAAGTTAGGAAGTTCTCAAAAAAAAAAAAAAAAAAGAAGATGAGAATATGTCACAGAGAGCCAACTGCAGGAGCTCCCAGTGGCCACAACTGGAACCATTTAGCAGTAAAATAAAGTCTTATGAATTATAACCCAAAATATGACATAAATATCCATAAGACCATACTGACTTCAATTATTTTAAATAAATAAATAAATGAAAAGAAGAGACACATCTCCTATACAGAAGAATTCCAATAATTTATGTAAATGTTCCACCATCAAGGAGATAGAGCGTAACTTTCCACTCCTTAAGTGTGGACTGCACCTAGCGACTTCCTTCCACAAAATACGGTATGGAAAATGGGGGAAGAGTAATTTTACATTGAAGAAATATGAGAAACAGTCATCCAGGTGACAAGGTCAACATCAACAATGATAAGTCATGTTCATAGTATGTACCCTTGATATGATGTAATGAAAATGACACTTTGTTGTGTTCATCCCTAAATCCTATAAGCCCAGTCTTATTACCAGGAACACACCAAATGGATCTTAGTTGAGGGATGTTCTGTAAAATACT